ACTTGCTATTCCTTTTTTTTTTATTGATGATATATATTTAACCAAGATAATCATCTTATTTTACAAATTCATCTCTTTCGCTATATTTAATACAAACAAACTTATAATAAACTTTTAACAATTTTGATTATGTTCCTAATGATTATGATGAAGATTTAGAGAGTATACTTTTGCTGGAAGTCTCACATCAGAGAGTGTTGCCAGAAGTATTGAAAGCAATAAGAATAATGATTTATTAAATTATAATATAGAAATGCCTTTTCTTTTTAATAATAACAATTTTGAAAGAGCAAGAGAATTTGTAGAAATGACGTAAATAAGGATATGTTTTTATTAAAAGATATCAATTATAATACTGATTTTGATACTAAAACAGATATTGACACATCAACTTTAATATTTGATTTAGAATCAATAATGTTAGGATCAGCTTACAGAAATGAATATTTTATTAAAAATGCAACAAATGCCAGTGAATTGTTATTGGCATATCCAATTTTAGATGTCATTAATGGTTCTATCCAATACTGCTCAAATCATTCAAAAAGGTAGAGACCGCTTTTTTAACTAATTGGGGCTTGAAAGATCAATCCAAAATTTTTCGAAAAATATAAATAAATAATGATTTATTTAATAGATATGTATCACTCGCATTTCCTTTATGATCAAAATTAATTTCATATCCCATGTGTTAAGAAGGTACAATTGATTAAAAAAAGTTGGATTTTTTGTAAGTGTTGTTTATTTTACAACAAATATAAGCATTTTTTTTAGTTAGGGTGGAACTTTTATATAGCATTTGGGAAAAAATATTCAAATTCCTTGTATCAGACTTAGAGTTTACCCTGTATTTAAACAGAAAATAGAATCAGAAAATATTATTGATAACAATAATCAAGAATCTGAATATCAATCTAGATACATATGGGGCCTTTGCAATAGAAAGGGGGGAAACTGCTGGGAAAAATTAATTTTACTTTATATGCCAAATATGATTTTTATGCTGAAATATGTTTAAATTTAGCATTAATTCATTTTTGATTTTTTCGGCTGTTTCTCCCCTTTCTATTGCAAAGGCCTTATATGTTCAGAATGTTTTATTATACATAATAGACATTTTTATGAGTGAAATAATTGTGAAAATATACCAAATTTTGAATGTATAAATAAGCATAAAAATGATTCAAGTGAAGCACTTCGAATTATGTGTTGCTGGGTTTTATCTATAATGGAAATTACCAACAAGAATAAAAAAAAATCTCTTAGTATGTTTAACTTCTATGCTTTCAATATTTTATGATACCAAATCTTTAACAAATACAGATTATCCTAACCTTCTTTTTATGAAAATAGCTTTAAAGTTAGGGTACTTTAGCATAATAAAACTTATGAATCAAAAATATGAATTCATCTCTGAAACAGCTATATATTTTGACAAGGAATTGGCAACTGTGACATGAAAAGCACGACATGAAGTACAAGAAAATAAAACTAAACTTAAAAATCTAAATTCATTATTAAATTATCAGAATGGTTTTTCTTTATATCTGGCAAATTTTTTAACAGATTTATTGAACTCTACAAAAAAAAAACATGAGATATTAACAAAAAAAAAAAAGTAAAGGGGTCTTTCATTAAAGAATTTTGATACAGACTGTGTGAATAAAATAACTGTATTTCTTATCTCAATGGTATTAAATATTGCATTTCCAGGTACAAATATTTGGTTAACTCATATCATGAGCTCGCTTTGCCAAAAATTAAAACTATATCACTCCCTTTATAATATACTTTATATAGTGAATATAATATTTCACACATACCAACATGAAAATTGTTAGAAAAGGCCTATCAGCAAACATATAAAATGTATTAGTAATTGACAATATAAATTTTATAGAACGAACTTTTTCATATGAAAATATTTTTGATACTACGCGTAGAAGCATAAATACTACTTTAAGGATGGTATTTCAATTTAATATGCCTATACAACTTCAATGTTATAATACAATAGATATCAGAAGTTTTAGTAGAGATGACCAACCTATATTTAGCACTTCAGCTTTCATAAACAACCTTCTTTTACTTTATGAGAAAATGTTTCAGGATTTTTTAACTATATGCATAGATGATTGGGATGCAGAAAGTATTCTTAAAAATATTGCTTAAAAATACCATTAGGAAGTAATATATCACAGTTGAATATTATTATACTTAAGCTAGGTGACAATCTGAATTGTAATGCAAATATTTATAATGCAAGTGATTTATATTATGATGATGTAGGAATAAATAACACTGACTGTCTAGATATTGCATGTGATGAAGCCATTTTTCATTGATTAATTTTGTACAAAGAAACAATAATGATAAAAAAGTAAGACACCTTTTAAGCCAATAGCATACTTCTCGTGATATGTGTATTGCATTGGTAAATATTTTTTCAGATTATGGCATTACTAATATGGCTGCAAAGCTGGATATACAATTTTTAGATAATCTAGAAAAGGTTGTAGACTACCAAGTTATATGTCGAGTTTTGGAATTAATTTAGATCACTATTAGAATTGTAATATTTAAATATTTACGTAATAATAATCAACTATAAATGATATTGAAAGCAGGAATAATAACATTCTTAAAGTTTGGTATTATTATCTATGTTAGGTCAGTTATTGGATAGGATACAAAATTAGTATTAGATGAGAAAACTATGAAATGCAAATAAGGAACCTTGCAGTGTTTTTACTTCTATTTCCAATTGTTGGAAAGGGCAATTATGTCAGATTAGTTGCATATTTTTTGTCATATATCGAAGATGATTCACATCTTTAAGAATTGCTTAAATATATTTGTTTAGTAAATCTCACCCATCCTGAACATTACTTTGGATTTGATAAAGCATTGAAAAGATTTGACGTTAAGTTTGTAAAACAAAATATTGGAGGAAAGACAATGGATAATGAAGAATTGAAGTTACAAATAAGTTCTGTGTAGTCAGAAAGAGAGTGATTAGATTTACTAATGTCAGAATATATAAGTGATATGGTTATAGCTAAAGAAGAACGAGCAGTAAATTCTAAAAAGAAGGTATTATAGCTATTGGCTAATGAGTTATTTTCTGCTTTTCTTTAATAGATCCAAAAATATATCAGCTTTTTTTAAATACACAAGAAATAACTTCAATAGGGTTTTCAAAAATATTTACATGTTATGATCTTGGCATAGCCTAACTTATTGCAATTCAATGTCAGGATATTTATAAAATTAATTCTCAAAATATGTAAGGTCATCGTAAATAAAATGTAATAATACATAAATTAATGTCTTTATCAGAAAATAAAAAAGAAATTAAAAGACAGCAAACTTTAACGAGTGATCAGATTGAGAATAATATAATATAAAATAAGAAAATTCAATTACTATACATAAACGTCAGTGTAAATGTATTACAGATAATGAAAAAAACTGCTAGAAAATTTGCTTAATTTTGATTCTTTTTCTGAAGATATAGCTATTGAAGTTTTAGGAAACTTTAAGATCTTTGCAATGATTGGGATATGCAACAGATATGAATTTATTGAAATAATCATCATAAGAAAAAAAATTCTAGTTCTATACCTTCTTAGTAGTATATGATTTATAGAAACATAAAATTTGTTTTTTATTAATTTTTATTTAAAAAATCATTATATTATAAATAAAAGTTTTTTATTAGAATCATGACTTTTTTTTATTTTTTTAAAACAATTGTATTTGTTTTGTAATTTTAATAATTCAAATTATTTATTGTTATCATTATTGATATTCTAATTAAAAGTGATGCATTAACTATTTTTGATTATTATAAATTTAAAATGAGATATTATATGTATTATTATTGACTCTGCAATTTTATTTAGTAACAAAATGTAAGTTTAAAATGCCAATTTTGAGTTTTATATTAAAATATTGTAAAAAATACCAAAATAAGCCACAAAATTAGATATGAACCTTATATATTAATAATAACAATATAAAAATTATATATTATATGCAATTTTATTAGCACTATCTTTTTAATTATTGACAAAAGATAAATTTAGAATGTCAATTTTAAGTTTTATATAGAGTAACTGCAAAATTACCATATTGTAAAAAAAAAATTTTTAATACTTTATTTGAAGATTCTTTAAAACTATTGCAATTACAATCAATATAAATAAATTAACTTTTTAAGATAATGAATGTTGGATTATTATAATACTAAAATATCAAAACATTATATTTAATAAAATATAATGTAATATATATTAATTGATATATAAAAATTAGTATATAGCCTTTTATATATATATAAAATACTTTTAATCCTACTTTAACATGTGATATCTTACTATCTAGTGATTGGATTTTATTGAAATTTTGTTTATTAGATTTGCCTTATCAAGTAAAACTAAATTCTTGATATTTTATATTACTGGATTTGTATTTATTATAGTATATTAATTTAAACATTATTTATATTATCGGTTAATCTAATTATTAAATATTAATGATTACCAGCGTATTAAATAGATCTTAATAAGATGAGTTTAATAGTTATTATTTCATAAAATTTGAAGCATTACTTGCCGAGATATCTCAATTCAAAGTTTTTTAAGCATTTGTTGAGACATATCACGTGACCGTTATGAATTACCAAATACTTGATGCATATTTATTTACAAATTTTAATTTAAAATATTATATTAGAATTATTATTATTATTATATATATATATATATCATTTTGGCTGACCAAAATTTTTATAATCTAATCAGAAGTTTGACCGACCAAGAATGACAAAATTTTTTGGCTAGTCAAATACCAACAACATTAATGTATAATTTAATATACTTTAAACACTAAATACTATTTAAGACACGTAAATTTTTATAAATGCAGTTAAAAGTCCTTAGGATTGACAATTTATATAAAACTAAATATCATTGCTTTGATTAATTATTTCAATTGGATCAGTTAATAATTGGTTTATAAGTATTTTCTTGCTTAAATCGCAAGTGTTCACCAGCAGTAATTCTTTTTCTTTCGTTCATTTCATCTATTCCTTCCCCTTCCCTTATTCTTCCGATGATGAATTCACTAGGAATAGGATCTAATCCAATATCTCTTCCAGCATGACAAAAATAAGCAATACTATATCTATGCAAATGCATATTTTCTTTATTAAATAGAACACGATGTTTAGTTGACTTAAATAAACCTTTTGTCCAAAATTCCATTAAATCTCCAATATTAATTAAAATTGCATTAGGAACAACGGGGACTTGTATCCATTTTTTGGTGTATGGATGTTGAATTTCTAATCCTCCTATTTCTTTTTGAAATAATAATGTTATGGATCCGTAATCTGTATGACTATTAAGGGATGAAATTTCTTTTAACAAATAAAATGAATAATAAATAAAAAATATAAATTATTAAATTACCTTCCAGCTCTGATATCTTGATTATAATTAATGTCTTCCGACACTTTACCTTCCTCAATCGTAATAGGAGGATAATGTAATATTCTAAAATTATCACCGGATTTCATTCCATACCCATGTCTTTTAGAAAACCAATTTTTTCCTTCTCCTTCTTCATTATCTTCAATCTTCAATGATATTGCCAACGATTGTAATACTTTCATACATAAATCATGACAAGCCTATAAAAATAATAATTTTTAAGGAACTTGCTAAAATTTGAATTTGTTTCGTATGCATAAGCCAATCTAATAGTTACTTTTTCAAATGATTCGATAAATTTACTTCTCTCTTCAAAATATTTTGGTAATTCTTGTGAGATGGGTTTTCCATTTTGAAATTTTCCAAAATTAAAACACCTAATAATTAAATAAAGAATATATAATAAATTACTTTTAGATAAATAAAATAATAATGAATCATATATAAATTAAGTTACTCTTTATGATCTCCAATTTTTTGATGAGGAGGATCAAGTACTTCTTGCTTTAAATCAACAAAACCAAAATATTCGTCATTCATAATATATCTTAATTGTTCTTCTCTTGATATTCCAATGAAAAATTCTTTTGCCTATATAATCAATATTCGATTTCAAAAAATTTTATTCTTTCACATAAAATTTCAATTGATTTTCACTTCCATACTCACAATTGAAAACATTTCATTAATGAATTCATTGGAAATTCCATGATTTTTTAAATAACAAAATCCAATATATTCACAAGCATATTTTATTTTCTTCGAACATTCTATTGAAAAGTCAATTATAGGGATTTCGTCATTATCGTTATTATATAATACATTGCTTGTCATTATTATAATTTAAAATAAAAGGTACAAAGGATTGGAAGTGGCGAATGACATTATCAGATAAAAAATTGTATGATGGAAAAAAAAATGATCGACAAAAGTTGATCTCCAAATAAATGACATCACGTAAACAAATCCTTTTTTTTTCTTTCCATTTTTTTATTTTCTTCTCTATCATAATTTTTCTAAAAATTTGCTAAATTTGTTTACCATTTAAGCTGGTTTGCTTTCTGCTTAAGGTCTACTGAGTAGCTTCTGTTTGTTTAGATCTGCTATTCTGAAAGAGGGATCGGTTATGTACTTTTTTTTAAACAAACGAAGTAAAATTAGTTATCGATAGCCATCATTATTTTAGTTGTTTTCATGATAGTGCGACATACTTCACCTAGATGAGCCGGTTACTCTATATTGGAGAGCACTCTGATTTGCTCTTTATGACGAGGCGACGCTGTTGCCATGGGTGGGCGAGTTCTAAGATTGTAGGATATGCCATTTGATGACTATTATTTGCTTTTGTTACTCACAAATCACTTTTATTATTTATCCTTTAATAGAGCTATTGAACGAAAAGTCAAGAAAAATATGAATTAGTAGAAGAATCTCAAGTTCACAACTTGAGTCCAAAAGGTTAATGCATATCAAATTTTTGAATTATTAAATATTCCCTAAAATGAGGAAAAACCATTAAACTTGGCTATAAGAACGGATGTACAGTATATAAAACAATGGTATAGACCAATGTTTTTTTTTTTTATATATTTCAGATATTTTAATTGAATCTAGATGTAATTAATTACGCGTCACTACAGAGAGCATGTTCGTGTCGCGCTGATGATCAATATAATGATACTATCAACATATCATATTCATATTTTAAAAAAAAATAATCCATTGTATTATAGGAAAATCAGATTTTGAAATTCGATTATATTGCCTTTCAGTCATGATTCCTATCCTCAATTGTTACTTCGATATCACCAAATGTTTTTCATTATCGAACTTACCAGTCACCGTTGATCCAGATTTTCGAGATACAGTCATACCAATATCACGCTACAAAATACAAATAAACGTTAACTGAATTTTGGCGAAGTCTAGTAAAATAAATGAGAAGGAACTAGTCATTACAGTAATCATGCGTTCTGTAACGTGATTTGCGTAGTATGTAAATCATTACATCAAAAAATTTGAACCAAAGATGAGAAGCGAGAACTTTATTTCTGTTAGGGTCTGTAGTTGTCTGTAGTTTTTAATCGGGTCGATTTTTGTAAAAACAAAGAAATACTCCACATTCATACACGCTGAGCCACGCATGATTCTACCTTACCTAATGTTTTAAATGAAAGATACATACCGTAAGTTTTACTATTCTATACTTGCTACCCATACTATATAGTCATTGATAAATTTCTAATCCTGATTTGTAACTATTGATTTAGGGATTCTACAAGTAGAATTGATTATAGAATCAATTAATCGCGAATAATCGAATCTAGTTTCGATTAAAAGGTTCGATTACGATTAGTCGATTATAATCGAATTTTTTTTATGGAATTTTTTTTTTTTTATATCATAATTTTAATCGATACAATTTGTTTATTCAAAAAAAATAAAAATTTTTTAAACTTTTCTCTGTATAACAATTTAGTATTTTAATTTATACTTTTTTTTTTAATCTTTTGGGTTCTTTGCAGCGATCAAATGGGTTTTTTCGATATTTAAAAATAATTCTTCTTTCGGTTCAGATCATCTTAGAAGTACGTGGTATGTGTTAATTTATTTTATTTTTTTAGTTTATTTAATTTTATCTTTTTTTTTCTTTTTTACATTTGGGTTCGATACTAAACTAATTTCTTATTTGATTTATTATTAAAATTTTTTTATAGTTTTTCTAAGTTGGAAAGAATAGGTAAGTATTTTTCCTGATAAAATGACATTGAATAATTGTTCAAAAATATTGATCATGTTAACAGCCATAAATATGCTGCGTCGGAAACAATATAATTCCACTTATTATCAAACCGATTTTAAATGTGTAAAGTATCATTATTTAATAGAATTACATAACTTAGTCTTAATTAAAATTTAATTATATTCACATTTTACACTAGAAAAGAAATAGAATATACTAAATTATTGCTGACAATTTAATATTTTTGATAATGATTTAAATGATAAATAAGTTATTTATATATTAATATATTTTGATAATTAAATACTTTAAAATTATTGTATATTATTAGGATTAATTATTGCTAATTAAAAATAAATGATGATGTGTTTTTTATAAAATTTAAGTAGAGTTTCTAATTCTTTATTACTTATTATATTTAAATTATAATTATTTAATAATGAATTAAATAATATTATAATTAATAAAAAGAATTATTTGAAAATTATTTTTGTATTTCTAAAAATAATTGCAAATGTAAAATTCATTATATAGGTAAAAAGAAAAGAAATTCTAAAAAAAAATTATTTGAATTAATATTTAAATCTAAACTTATTTTACTAAAAAAATCATATTTAGCTTATAAAGTAAAATTTTGATATTTTTTTTAGATTTTTCACTTTCTATTACAAAGCTTTAATATTAGCTTTTAAATCTTTTTCTAATTTAATATCTAAATAAGTTTATAAGATCTAATCTTTATGTTTAAAAAATTATTATCATTATTGTTATCTAAAAATTTTGTTAAATTATTATAATAATTTTTTTAATAGTTAGATATATATTTCTAATAATTAAGAAAACAATTTAAAAAATGTAATTAAAACTAATATTTACCAATTTCTAATATAAGATAAATATTAAGAAATTGTAAATAAAAAAATAACTAATATTCTGAATCAAAATGATAAAAGTTATTTTACTTAATTTAATTTTTAAAAATTTTTAAAAATTTAACTTCTTTTCCTAAAATTTTTCCTATATAATTAATATATATTTTTTTTTGAAGGTCGTTATTTATCATCAGTGATGATTATTACTAGTATTACTTAATTAATAGTAATTGAAGTTTTTATAAACCTCACGTAATCAATGAAAGTAAAACAAAAACTTTTGATTGTGAAAAAATTCTAAATACCTAAAATATATAGTAAAAATAAAAACTGAGAAACATGATATAGGATGACAAATAATATTATAATATAAACATATAAATATATGATATTAGTAATGATTATTACCAGTAATATAAAATAATTTTTTTTTTAAATTAAATTATATAATAATTTTAAGTAATTTATCAAGTAATGATTATATTATAAATAAAAAATTATTTATTACTTTATATTAATTTCTTATAATAAAGTTATATCTAAATGTAATTAATATATTATTTTATTTAAAAATTAATATAAATTAAATTAAAATATTTAAGTCAATATTAAGAATGGATTAGATCTATTGAACTTCAATAGTTAAATGATTTAATGAATCAAAATTATTTGTAATCATTGGATCTAAATAGTATAGTATATATGAATAGATCATTTGTCAATAATACTTAATAGATAATGATCCATTAGAATCTATTGACCAACATGTAATATAATTTATTATTGCAAAAAAAATTAAAATGCAAGTAAAATTACTTGTTTTTAAAAGTTTATAACTTCTTAATTATAAATGCTAAAAATATGATTTTATATTTATTTTAATTCTTAAATCTTAATTCAGTGTTAAGTAATTAGATAATTTTAAACAGTTTTTAGACATAATTTCATATGTCCAAAATCTTGTTCAAAATGTTTAAAATTAAAAAATATGTTTAAAATCCATCACTGTCTTAAAGTATATCTAATAAAATTTTAAAATAAAATTATTAATACAAATTTTATGTAATTTAATCATCTATATTAAATGTTATTAGTTAATGAAATTTAAGCATAGAAAATTTTTTTAGCAAACTAATTATTAAATAAATAATATTAAATTTTGATTCTTCTTAATGCAGTAATTCTGATAAGCTAAAATTCATTAAAATCAGGTCAAAAAATCAATATATAAGATCATATTATCATATAAAAAAATTGGTTAGACTAATTTTTATATAAAATAATATAAACATGTAGATTAATTTTTCACTGATCTACTAATTTGATTTTGACGAATTTTAGTTAAAATTATTATATTAAGAAGAATCAAAATTCTATGTCAATTTTTAGTAGCTAGCTTGTTAAATAATTTTTTATACTTAAATTTAATTTAGTAAAAAATTTGATGTAGATTAGTAAATTGCATAAAATTGATATTAATAATTAAACTTTAAATTTTTATTAAATATGAAAGCTTCGCAATAAAAAGAAAAAAAAACTCTAAAAAGATTAAATTTTTTTATAAATTAAATATGATTTTTTAGTTAAATAAATTCAGATTTAATAACATTTTAAAAAAATTTGTTTAGAATTTTCTGTTTTTTACTACAAATCTTTCATATAGATGGTATGCTATTATTATGGTCAGTTCTTTGTGATCACTTAAAGGTTAAAAGTGTGATAAGGTAAGCAGAAGGTAAAAGGTTTATAAGATTATATAGATTGAGTTATTGTTTATTCAATATGTCTCTAACAAATGAGTACTGCCTCTGTTAGCGTTCTGTATTATACAAATGTTATATATTAAACTAAACTAAAGATAATACTTTAAAACCTACAATAAAATCTTGTAGAAAACCTATTGTTCACTATCTTAAGACTCAAGGTATATTTCTATAAAAATAATTATATAAAGTGTTCGAAGATATATAAGAAATATAAATAATATAATAACTATAATAAATATAATAAATATATGTAATATAAGAGATATAAATAATATAATATATATAAAAAATATAAGAAATCTAAATAATATAAGACATAGAAGACATATATGATATTTTAATCACCGCAATCATATACATCACCTAGGTCATCCATGTCTTTTTCATGTAACACTACACTATTAAAATTGAAATACAAGACGTAATAAATTATATGATCCATATCTTAATTTTAATAAATTATTACCCTTGTTTAAGGATTCAAATAAATATACAATTATATTTCTAGCATTTGTGGTTAATGAGTTATAAGCTTTAAAATCAATTAAATTTATATAAAATGAATTAGTCAATTAAATTAAATATCTTAATAGATCTAATATTTTTCATAAATTCATTAGGACTTATTTAATAAACTAAGATCTATTAGATTCATTAGTTATTAGTTTATTAGATTTATTAGTCAACTCTGATTTAAGAATCAAATAGATAGATTTATAGTTAAAATTCAATATAATAATTTTTGATATAATAATCACTTAATAAAATCTTGTTAAAATAATTTTTTTAAAATTTTTGATTTTATATTTGAACATATAAAAATCATTATATAGAACTTATAAATTTTAATAAACTGATTTTTTTAAAAAAATTTATAGTAAATTGAAAGATTCACTATATTAAGTTTTGACTGTATTATTAATTGAAATCAAAAAAATTAAATATGTGATAAATTATTTATTAATTATTTATTTATTAAATATAATTATAATCAGCCAAGAATTATAAATAATTTATATATTTATGACCAATTTGTATAAATTAGAAATTCAAAACATATTAATCTGATAATTTGTAAACAAATTAATGGATTATTTTACATTAATAATAATAATTTAAAGAAAATAAATAACTTTTAAACTAATAAAACTTTTAAATAATACATAAAAAAATAATAGAAAAAGTAATTAGTAAATTATTTGCATGATTTAAAAAAAAATAAAATGTCAATAAAATTTAAAATTTTAATATTTGATATTTTTTATTAATGATATATAATTATATAATTAAAATATTACTGTATAATGAATTTGAAATATATATTATATAATTTTACATAATTTATATCAAAATAAATAATTTAAATGATTAATGAGATTTTAATATAATAAAAGATTAATTTATTTAAAACAAAAAAACATAAATAATAAATGATAAATGAAAATCAAGATCAAATATTATATGAGTAGATAAAAAAATTCATATAATCAGAATTTTTGTGTAATCCATTATTTTATACAAATCATTAAAGTAATTTAAGATATGAAAGGTTTGCTAGGAAAATGGGACTTTGAGTATTTTTATTAAAATTTGCATTTTAATCTAATATTATCAAAAATTAAAATGCAATAAAAATTAAAATTTTAATAAAAAATGTTCAGAGTCACATTTTTCTAGCAAATCTCACATATTATAATTTAAAATAAATGAAATACCCTAAAATTATTAATATGAAAAGCTTGCTAGAAAAATGAAATTCTGAAAATTTTTTAATAAAATTTTAATTTTTATCTAATATATCAAAAAAATTAAAATGTAATAAAAATTAAAATTTTATTAAAAAACTCAAAATCCCATTTTTTTTTGGCAAATCTATATGCAAAAATAATATTTATGAAAAAAAATTAATTAATATTTATGGAAAATATATTTTTTATAAAGAATATATTGAATATGTTAATATATTATTAATAATAAAAAGTTATTATTTACTTTTTTATATTCTTATTTAAATCTTAAATTTTTTAAATTTTTTCTTTTAAATTAATATTTATATTTAACTTATACAAATTTAATAATAATTTATTTAACAAATTTAAGAAATTTTATATTGATATATTCGTTTTATTAATAATTAAAAATTGAAAGTTAAAAATTAGATTATTATGTATTAAGTTAATAAAATTTAATTTGGTAAAATAAAAACAAAATAATATTTTAAATTATATATTAAATAATTCATTAATATATTAAACTTTAGTTATTTAAAATTGCTATAATGCTTTAATTCTATAATGCTTTAATTGTATAATACAATATAAATAAACATATTAATTAATATTTGTCGGCTTGTTTAACTTTAAATAATTAGTATATTTATTAATAATCAGTGATTCGTGATCGTATATGGTAGAAACTAAATAGAATTAAAGCTATTTTTTCAACTAAAATTATTATATATTTCAAGTCAAAATTACCAAGATCACTCCAATATTGAGCAACACCTGAGAAATGAATGGCGAATGTTTTTTTATTTTATATATATTGACAATAGGAATAATGAAGACAAAATATTGGCTCATCAAGGTGATTCGTTCTTTAGTGAATGACAATGGATGACCAAGTTAATCTGACTGAATATGTATTCTGTGATCGTTATATTTTAAGCCTTGATTCTGCTATCTCTGTTTTTCATTACATCACATGGGTTCCATGGTCTGATTTTGTACTATTCCTAACATTTCAAAATCATGCCATAATGATGATTTTTTATCGGAAAGTGAACGTCACGATGATTCACGTGATCATATTTGTCACCGTTTAACTTTTTGTCAGATCTGCAAATATCGTGATGAAACACATTCTCACTCATCTAATAGAAACTGAGAAAAATGCAAAATTACACGGTAGATTCTACCTTTTTAACAACACCGGGAGGTAGTTTTATATTGACACAATCACAGCCACAAACTCCAGCAACAGCGACTGGAAGTACCTTTGAAATAGATCGTTTTCCAAGAGAAGAATTTTCATTCTTGCCTCATATGATTCAAATCCTTGACAAAGTAGAAACGGGTAGAAATGAAGTGGAAATAAAAACTATGGTACAGTACAACTTAAATATTTTACGTATTGAAATTCGAATCATAAATATTTTTGGTGACTTCAATTCGTTATTTGATAGATGAGAAAATTAAAAGGAAAGATTCATCAATGTCAAAAAATCTTGGAAGATTTACCGGGGGCCGATTTATCAAGAGAACGACAAGAAACATTGAGAAATGAAGATAAAGAAATTTTAGAAAAAAAGAAGTTTGTAATTTTAACTTAATTCTTCATCTTTATTCTATAATATATAATCTATATGTTTCCAGTAAAATCACATTACGGATCATATGATTTACTATGCCTCATGACTTGATTTTACTGGAAACGTTCCCATATGATAATGACTTTTTTTTTAATTTAGGAAAAGGCGTCATAAATATTTAGGATTACAGATCTTTCAAACTGCTGCAGCGATATGTAATAATAAAAATAATCCCAATAATCCTACTTCTGTATCAACAGAAGATAACAATCATCATATGGATACAGAATAAATGGATTGGAATCCTTAACAGGAAATTTTAATACATGAATCCATGATGAATGGTTTTCAATTGATCTTTTGATTGTTCAACAAGAAAAAGTCCAATCAGAGAACTTCGTTCGTTTTAGGTATAACTGAAAGAAATCGTCAACGAAAGCACATGTTTGATGATGATGTTTGACAACATTTTATTGGTGTATTGGAACTTTAAAATCATGACAGATATTAGCTAATATAATTATCTAATAAACTGAAAGTTTGGTAAAAAGTTTTCGATATACCGAAACGTGAATTCACGTGATTTTGATCAAATATGGAATTTCGTGGCATAGTTATTACCCGAGATTTGTAATCTTTCTGACATAATTACATAATTATATTAATATTTTTGTAACTATATGCATAATTTAATTGTGATAAGTTTTACGTGTATTATAAACTCGATATACCGATCTCTCGGTTTTATTAACAATTATAAAATTCGGTAGTTGAAAATAATATTTTTTTTAATAATGTACATTGTTATTGGTGTCATAATTATTTTTTAAAAAAAAAAATAAAGGGAGGAAAAACCTTTTTCCGGGCAGAAGAATTTTGCAGTATCAATATGAAAATAGAAATTCATGTCCGAGGAGGATATTAAAATATCCGAATATCTCATTTTGCACGGCAAATCATCATCTAAAATGAAATGAATCGTGAGTAAAAATCATCCGCGTGCTAACACGAAACAAAGATCGTTTCCATATAAAAGACCCTCTGATATTTAAAGTTTACTGAAATCAGCGTTGTAAAATTTTCCATCGATCTTTAATCACCATACGTTACAAAAATTTAATGAAGAAATTTTAAATAATCTGTGATAACAATTTCTAATTATGCTCTAACGCATTAACCATTTAAGAATTCATTTTCGTGATCATGAAGGTTTGTTCGAACGAGAACCAATCGCCTTACTTCCGTTAAAAATATGTACGGTATTTAATATATATTAGGAAAATTAAAAATAAAAATAAGTATTTAAAGATTAAAAACTGGAGGAGGGATTTTTTTTTAAAAATATCGAATTCTTTTTTTCTTATACCTCACATAAAACTTTATATCGAACTGTTTTCACCTAACCCAAACTCTCGAAAAAAAAAAAAAAAATGTTCATAGACGTAATATTCAAATTGGTTGAAGTTTTTAAGAGTAATTTTTTCACAATCCTTTCTTTAGCGATTGTATCATATGTAATCCAATATTACATTAATTTTTTTAAACGATCAAGACTTCCCGGACCTTTACCTTTACCAATTATTGGAAATTTACATCAAATTGGGGATGATTTCTCATCAGCAGCCGAAACATTTCGTCAAAAATATGGTGATTTGATCGAAATTTATATGGGAAGTTCACGTATTGTCGTGATTAGTAGGATCGATTTAGCAGAAAAAGTATGGGGACCTTTATCAATTAAAAATACAAAATTTATCATGCGTAACGCACATTCTCAAGGTGTTGATGAACTTGGATTAGGTACAAAGGGGATGGTATTAAATCGACATCTTGAATCTTGGGAATTTAATAGAAAATTCTTGGTTCAAAGTTCTTCATCACCATCTTTCTTACGTGAATCAATTAAATTGGAATGTAAGGTTAATGATGAAGTCTTTAAATATTGGAAGATAATGGAAAAAGAAAGAATGCCGGTATCAGTTCCCGATTGGATGGATGCTATAGGAGTTGATGTTGTCGTCACAACTGCTACGGGAAAAAGGATGAATTCAACGGCAGAATTATTCAACAAATTAAATATTAATGGACAAAAATCTGAAATGCAAGGAATTTGGCAAAATGGTATGAAATTTGCTGAATCGATATTTACTTATAACGAATCAATGGCTTTCATGATGTTGCTAACACCATTCATTCGAGAGTGGTTTCCTGGATTTAAAAACTTAAATAAAAAATACTTGGATAATAGAGATTGGATAAATGCGGAATTGGAAAAAATGATTTCCGAAAGAAGAAAAGAAATTGAAAATACTCCTTTGGATCAACCACTTGAACCCACTATTCTAACCATATTGCTTACGACAAATACGGAAAGAGATTTAGAAAAGATTAGCGTTGGTAAACGTGATCAACCTTTAGAGAACGATCAATTAAGCTCAATATTACGTGAAGTGTTTACCGGCGGATTAGATACTACTTCAAATACTCTGTCATTCGTTATTCACTATATCGCTAAACATCGTGATGTTTATTTGAAAATGCGGGAAGAAATTTTAAATGTTTATGGTACACTTGATAATCCTAATATATTACTTGAATCTTTTGAAAAATTCAAGTACATGGAAGCTGTAATTCAAGAAGCAATTCGTATCTTTCCTACGGTAGCAATGATATCTCGTGCTGCAACCGAAGATGTTGACTTTGATGGATATACCGTTGAAGCTGATACAACAGTTTTTACGAATTTGAAAGCGTTAAGTCATAATCCTAAATACTTTAAAGACCCCGAAATATTTAATCCGGATAGATTCTTGGATAAAGGATCGATAGTTAAATATTCATTTTTACCTTTTGGAAATGGTGTACGTATGTGCCCTGGTCGTTATTGGGCCATGGTTCAAATGAAAACTTTTTTGATTAAATTGGTTTCTACATTTGATCTTGAATTAGTTGATAAAAATGCCGAAGCAAAATATAGGTATGCTACCGTAAATCGTCCTATAGACATAAACATTTATATCAAATCTAGAAAAGATTGATGATTTTAATTAAGTAGCCATTTCGTTGTATTAAGTATATTTGATTTTGAAAGAAAATGTATTTTTATTTCAATTTATTTTCCAATTTCTATTTTTTATTAAATTTTTATAAATTTGAACAATGTGTATTAAAAAAGAGCTTTGTGGTCCATCACGTGTCCATTTTGACAGTTTCTGCACAACAAATGTAGCTAATTTGCTAATTTAAATTAAGTTACACGACAATTATGTATCCGGTTACATAAATTTATTTCTAAACCCTATCTACATTAACGAAAAACTTTCTATGTGATCTAAATATAATATAAAATCTAAATCTATACATTGACTATTATAATAAAATGAATTCATTTATCTATCTGTTTATCTATAAATATATATAAATATAATAATAAAAATAATAAAAATACTTTGAACAAAAAAAAAAATAAAATTAATTTTTTTGACTATTTTAAAAAAATTAATTAATGTAAAATAAACAGGGAACTCACATGATGAAAAGTAGAATTCGAAAACTTTTTTTTGGGATGGAGAAACTTAAAAGGGATTTAAGATTTTTCCTTCAGAAGAATACGACAATGTATAAACAAAACGGCAAAAAGATTTTTTTTTTTATTTAAAATATTGATCAAACCAAGATTTTCAAGGAAGGAGATAGTTATCTTCGCCATTAATTATTATTACTTTTGATAGAGATTTATTTTTTAGAACAAGGAATTTTTAAATTTTTTAAACAATATTTAAAATATTAATTCTCACCTTGAAGCAAATTACCACAAGATCATCGATTGTTGTTCATAGAAAGAATAAAGTTGATTTTGGCTTTGAATCATCAAATCAATCTCTGCAATTTCTTTTTTGATACTTTCTCTAATCTTTCTCGCACCAGACTTCATCAACTCTCGGGATGTTTTAAATTTCTTTTCACCTTCCAATTTCTTCTTATCAATATCATTCCACATCATTCTAACGGCATCATCTTGGGTTTTTTCCAATTCATAAATATATTGTTTCTCGACAATTTCATTATTTCTTTCAAACCAAACGTAAACTTTAGTTTCGGCTTTTTTCAAAACAATATTATATTCAATTGTTTTGATTTCCTTATAAAGTTGTTTAACTTCACGCTGTAAGCATTCCGCTTGTTCTCTAACTTCACTTGGAACTTTAACTAATTCTTCAAGCTTAGCATATCTCTTATCTTCTAAACGATAAATGGAATTTTCAATTTCTTTCATCTTAATGTAATTATAATTTAATGCAGCAGCTGCGGCTACAGCTGTAGTATATCCCTCAACCAAAATTGAATTACTCGTTACAAATGTTGCTGCGATAATCGACTTTTTATCTTCCATATGCAGTGTAAAGGTATAG